TGGCCTTTCCCTGGCCAAACAGAGCCAGGACTTTGCCTTTCTTTCCACAACTCCCCGCTTTTGCCTGTTAAAATAGAAAAACTTCTGGGTCTGCAAGATGCAGTCCTGGATGGCCCCTCTCTCTTATAATTTATTTGCAGCATCTGTCAGTGGAAGGATGAGCCATGGGCACCCCAGCAGCATTTTACAGAGAGAGAAAATGTGCCTTTATCCAACATGTTGCTTCTGGTGAGATAAACAGTGATTTCCTGTCAGAATTCCTGTTTGCATAAAGCTTTGCCTCATCTCTCCTCTGGCTTCCTTCAGGAGGCCACAGCTCAGCTCAGTGCAAGGAGGATGTGCTTATACAGATACCTGCAGAAGGGAGAGGTAAAGAAACGGATCTGGAAATGTTTAATGTTGTCCACATATCAGCAGAGTTCACTCTGTTCATCATAATCCCATTTTCTGCCTCAGACGTGTCATTACTGCCCACTGGATTTGGGGAGATAGCAGCAGGAAATGGGCTGGAAAAACATCAGACAGTTTGGCTCTTTTTTAAAAAAGTCATTAACACCTTTAATATATTTAATGAACTGCAAGCTGCCCTCGGAGTGGAGAAGGATAAATTCTCTGCGGGTGAGACAGTGAAGGGAGGCTCTGCTGAGAGGCAGGAGGAGAGTGCTGGGTTTATTTGGGCTGGAGGGCAAGGAGAGCAGAGGGCAAGCCCTGTCCAAGGGGCAAAGAGAAGAATTGAGGTGAAAAAGGCAGGAGAATGTGCTTCCTTCTCCTCAGGACCCTCCTTGGGCAAACAGAGATGTGCAAGTGGCTCCCACCTGCATCAGTAATATTGTGGTGCTGTCACCATGAGGGTGCACCCTCACCTGCCTGCACCTCGGAGAGAGGAGAGGAAGGAGGGATTTGTCTTTCCAAACAAGCTGTGGGTCTGCTGGTAAATAAAACTAGCACTGAGAGATAAAAGAAACAATGGGATGGACTCCACTGATTGATGAATGAAAAAAAGATATTTGGCTTTACAAACAAATTGTAGGTTTGATGATAAATGAAACTGGATATTGAAAGATGAAAGAAACAATTGGGAAGCACCATAAATTCCATAAGAATTAAAAATTAAGGGGGAGGGTGATACATTAGAGGGGAATCTCAGGTATCAGGCACTCTGGGAAGTCTGTGCCTCTCAAGCGCCTCAGCCAGTGGGGAAAGAGAGAGGGACATGGCCGGGAAATTGGGATAAAAAGGAGGCTGCATCCTCCAAAAACTGGAGAGACCCCAGGGGAATGGCCCAAGGCCTCTCTGTTTATTTGAATAAAGTTCCAGGACTCCTGTCTCTTTTCTGGGCATGAACCTCTGGTGTTTGTGGATTCATTTTCCTGACACCATCACCTGTTTGCACCTTGCACCCTCACCTGGCCCTGGCTCCCAGCAGGCTCAGCTGAGCCCACCCCGTGTGCTGTTCTGTTTCCTGGAGCAGAGCAGGAAAGGGAGGTGAAGCCAAGGTGTTATCCCAGGCTGAGCCCAATTCCCCACAGTGCTCCAGACTCACCCAGCCACAAGCTGTGCCCCAGCCCAGCGCCTGGCAGCTGCACATGGGCTCTGCCACTGCCCCCTCCTGCTGCTCCAGCCCCTCTGATGCTGATAAAGCACTGCAGACATCGTTCTGCCCTGTGCACACCTGAGCACATCTCATTTGCAGCACATCTCCCAGGTGGGGAGTTGATTTATCCTTCTGACAGGCAGCGGGGCCAGGTGCCCTGTCCAAAGCGTGGGGCGAGTCTGGGAGTCAAGAGGGACTCAACCCAGACCTGAGCTGGTGCCCCAGCTCCTGGCACACACCCCCTGGCAGCTGCTGACCCGTGAGGGGAGAGCAGAGCAATTTGTTTTGCAGGTTGCTTATTCACAAGGACAGGCTCTTTTTGGGTTTTGCAGCACTTTATCATTTAGAATTGTCTGGGCTGTCCTGTTCCCATCCTCGGGGGGCAGAGGTGGGGGCTGGGATGCAGAGCTGTGAGGGGCAGGGCTGGGGCTGCCCAGGGCTCTGCTGCACAGCCCTGCTGGCACTGAGTGCTCCCCCAGGCAGGAGCCCTGGGCTCCTTGCCAGGCCCAGCAGAGCTCACAGGATTTAGCAGAAATGAGCTACAGAGCCACTTCCCTGCTCTCCTGACCCTGCCCATACTGACCCTGCCAGCCTGCTACAAATCCCTCACCTCCCCAGTGTGTCCCAGTACTGCATCTCCTGTGCCATCCCAGCTGCTGCCTCTTGGCCATCTCAGCCTGGATCCTCCCTTCCCTGACCTCTTTCCCCTTCTCCCTTTGCCCACCCACCTCCCTTCCCTGGCTCTTTCCCAGCCCCATCTGCACCAGGGCAGTCTCCAGCAGCCAGGGGACAGCCCTGCCTCCCGCCTCACCTTTGTGCAGCTCCTTTAGCAGTGCAAAGAAGGTGGCAAAGGTGAAGTCTCAGCCACCACACTCTGAATTTCACGTTCCTCCTCCGAAACATGCAAAATTGTCCAAAAATTTCCTGCCACCACAATTGTCCCCATCCTGCCCACAGAAGCAGCTGGGCTGCAGGGGCTGGAGATGGTGCTGGGACAGCACACACTCGCTGCAGAAAGTTTCAACCCAAACAATTAAATCCCTGAAAGAATTTCCAAAAGCACCTAAGCAGGTTACATGCCTAATTCTCAGAGCCCAATGGGACTTGGACATCTAATCTTCTTAGCTGCTTTTGAAAATCTTTGCCAGGTGCCTGTTTGCATGTTTAGGTGCTCTAAAACCCTTGTGAGTCTGAGCTGTGGAGTGTGGTCAGTTTGGGTCAGGGCAGAATTGCAGCAAATCCCATCTGGAGATGGTTATTTGGGCTTAAATCTGAGCAGGGCAACCAGCAGGGTCCCCAGACCTGCTGAGGGACACCATATGTCCTTTGTCATTCTGCTTTATTCTGCTTCTGGCAGAATTACCCTGGGTAAGGCAGAGAGGCAGAGCCTTCCCTGAGGGCGCTGCCCAGAGAGCCTCAGCTCTGGCAGGTGCCACAGAAAGAGACAGAAAGTGTCAGAACACGGCCTGAGCTGGGGGTTTTGGGCAGATCTGGCCCAGAGTGACTACTGCTGTGTGAGACCAAAGCTGCAGGAGCGAAGGCAGAGCCTCCAAGCATTGAAACTGGAGCAGAGCAGCTCTTTGTGGGACAGCAACACTGCTGAAAATCAGAAACTGTGCTGAACTCCTGGCCAACACCTCTGGGGGAAGGAGGAACATGGACCTTTTGGAGCTTTGGAAAAGCAGGTTTGGAGTGTGAAACACAGACCTACCTGAAAGTGTTGGCTGTAGGACAGCAAGGACAGCCCCGATCTGTGGGAACAGAGGGAGATGCTCCAGCTGACAGCGTGAGAAGGGCTCAGAAGCCCTCAGAAGGCTCCCTGTAAGCTCAGGAGATCAGCAGCAGTGCCCAGCACCCCGGGGGATGCCCACACTGCCACCAACCCCAAGCCCTGACAACCTCTCCACTCTGGAGCTCTGACCCCCCCCTTTATCCAACCCCACCCCACCCCCAAAAAGTGACCCCATTTTCTGGGAAATTATTTCCAGTGCAGTAATTGCAGGCTGGAAATTAGACCCCAGCCTTCAAAGAGCAGGCTCTGAAGTGCACATTAGCTCTCTGCTGGGATGAGCCATCGTACCAGTCCCTGCTCGTCTCCTGCCTGAAATTATGTTTGACTACAGGGCATGAAATGTTATTCATCCTTCCCCATCTCCCTCCCATCCGTTTCTATTCAGATTCAGCACCAAGTGGTAGCAGCAGCAGGTATATGAAAAGGATTTTCAGGTGTTCATGTGTCTTTTCTTTCTATTTTTTTTTCCCCGGCTCCCCTTTTATACATGAGAAAGCAGCATGAAAGGCAAAGCAAATGAGAACGGGGAAGAAAGTGCTGGATTTCAAGCAATCTGTGAGCAGGGGGGTGTTTATTATCCCCAGAGATGGGGCTGTGCTGGGCAGGGCGAGTGGCAGTGTGGCCCCAGGAGCCACCTCTGCCATGGCCCTGGTCAAGGCTGGTGTGGAAAGGGTGGTGCCGAAGCAGCTGATGGGCACGAGGTTAATTCTCATTTCACTCCCTGGCAGTAGCAATTTCACGGATCTCGTCATCTGTGGACAGTTGCAGAAAGGGGAGATCAGAAATGACAAATATCTACATTACCTTCAGAGATTAAAATGCCACCAAATGGTCTTTTAATATGAAACCACTGGTGGTTCTGGGATTTGGTTGGTATAAGGGACCATTGTCAGTTTGAGTTTTATTTTATTTTATTTTATTTTATTTTATTTTATATAATTTTATTTTATTTTTTAATTTTTTTAAAGACCAAAACACACTGAGAAAAGCATAAAAAAATTGCAGAGGTAGCTGGAATTTGGAGGCTACCATAAAAAGCAGACTGGATATCTAAGCTGGACATCTCCCATCTCCATTTATAATTGATAATTGTGTGTTTTTCCCACCAGTCAAAAACAGAGTTAGTTTTAAACAGATAGAACTGGCTCTTGCCGTTTTCTTGTCAGTGTTATCTCATTAGGATCAATACTTTTCTTTGCTTTTCTATAAGCCTGGGAAAATCAGGGGGATGGATTTCCTTTAACAGGATAAAATCCTTGCAAAGGACTTTGGAGAGGTGAGATAAGAAATTAACATTAAAAAGGTGATCGCTATCTGTGCAGAGGTTTTGCTGCTGGAGCCCACCTGAAGCTTGTTTTCCAGCACATTTACATTCCCAACAAGCTGCAGGGTGTAAAACCCCCGGGGCTCTGCCAGGTTGGGAATTGCTGTTCCTGCAGAAGGAATTCCAGGGTGATGCTGACCTTGGGGCTCCAAGGGCAGAGGGGCAGGAAGGTGTAGGGGATGTGTTGTGTGCTTGTGGTCCTGCTCAGGGTGAACAGGAGCAGAGCTGTGTGAGGTTTTATTTGGTTTTTCCAGCTGGGGAGCAGCAGTGGAGGTTGCTGGTGGCAGAGCCATCCCTGCTCCTGTGGGACCAGAGCGGATTTTGGTTTTCCCTTGTGTTGCTCCTCCCCTGCTCCTCTGTAGCTGCCACCGGGTCTCTTCTTGTGCTGAAGAGAGAAAAGAGAAGGAACAGAGGGTGAAGGAAGCAGTGTGGGCTCAGGGGAGGAAGGTGAGGAAGAGGGGCTGGCACAGTAGCATCCCCTCCTGCCCTGCCCAGCTCCAGGCAGGAGCTGCTCTTCTGTTCACACCATAAACCAAAAGCTGCTCTTGCCCTTTGATTAAGGGGAGGTGTGGGATGGCATTGCTGCTGTGCTCAGCCTGGGAGGGGGCGGCAGAGCTGGCTCTGGAGCGCTGCTGCAATCAGCATTTGGGGCAGTGTGGCCTGGACAGGGCAGCCCTGGGCTGGGGCAGGACAAGGAGGGCTGTTCTCTCCCCTCTGCAGCTTGGAACAGCCTGGATCACACCTTTGGAAATGTCCTGGGTGAGGGAAATTTAAGGATTTGAAGAGAAGAGACAGAGTGACTCTCCAGGTGTTTAAGGAGAATCCCTCTGGTTTGGCTCAGAGAGAAGCCAGAGGATGGAACATGAAACGGGAGGGTGATGGGAGCTGGGGGTGGGAACTGGCAGCTCAGGAGCAAATGAGACATGACAGAAAGGGGGGAGATAATTTAACAGGCTTGGCCTGATATTGTCCTTCATAGTCATGTCTTGATTTTCTCCTGCTTTAGCTTTGTCAGATCTGATTTTGCACAGAGGACGCAGGGGGGACTGCTGTGCCCCACGTGTGCTGCACAGAGGAGCCTGCACAGCCGCCTGTTGCTCCTCCAAGCCACAAGCATGCAAGAAACATTTGCTTTTAAATGCCTGGAAGTATTTTCACGTTGTTAAAGTGACCTCTTCTTCACCATGTGCCTTCTTGAGAGCTGTTGTGCTATTTTTGCTCCAAATTTCGAAACAAATCCCACCCCCTAAGGCAGAAACCAAGAGCAGGAGCCATCAGGAACTGTCAGCTTTGCTGAGCTAACCAAAAACTGAGATTTCCAGCGAAAGCCTTTGACTTCTGGTGTTCACCTCGAAGCAACAGGCTGCAAGCCCCACACCTTCACCCTGCTCCTGAGGCTTGGCAGCTCCCCCAGCGCAGGAGGTGCTCGTGGTGGAGCAGGGAGAAGGTTTGGGAGGGATTTATGTTCTGCTGGAGCCCAGCCTGGCTTCACCCCACAGCCCCCAGGCTCCTGCAGTGGCTGGAAGTATTTGGGCCCTTCCTTGGGTAAATCCCACCTCACCTTTCCCATCCCTCCAGCCCAGGTCTGAGCTGTCCTGTCGGGGGGCACAGCCTGGGGGACTGGCAGGAGGTGAGGAAAACCCTGCACAGCTGGAGCCTGACATAAACTCCATGGAAATGAACTGTGGCTCTCTGCAGGGGTCACACAGTGCCCAGAGTGTGTTTAACACTCAGAGCTGGGACAAGGGCAGCAGGACCCCCAAAGCCATGCCCAGGCAGGGTCAAACCCTGTTTGCTCACCCTGGGTCTGCAGGGATGAGGTGCTGAGGCTCAGACCTTGTTCCTCAGGTGTTTCCTCCTGGGGCAAAGCAGGGAGAAAGGAGCTCCAAGGTGCCCAGGGCAGGGATGGACATAACCAGCCAGCCCTGCCACGCTGCCTTCCCTTGTGGCAGCCCCAGTGCCACTCAGTTTGTCAGGTAAATTTTAATTGTCCACATCCCTCTGATGGCCACTTCAATAGGCTGGGTAGGCTGCCCCAGGACCCAGCACGTGAGGAAGGTGAGATGATCCTTTCTTAAAAGGACATTGCCCAGTGATTTTTCACAAGGCTTTGAACAGTTTTGCTGATTCTTTTATTTTTAATTGGTTCCCCTTGGAAAACTCGTGCTGGAATTTGTGTCCTTTCATGGTTTTGTGCTGCCACTGATGCCAGCAGTGCACTTGGAACTGTGAGGGGCTGGGGTCACCTCAGACATCCTGTCCATAAACTAGGTCAGCACCTGACAAAGGGATTTCAGCTGGTGCTGCCATCCCAATGCAAAGCCAGTGGGGGTGGTTATGGGGAGGTTTGGTTTGAAGATCTCCATGGGAAGGTTTTCCTTGCCCTGAGCAGCATTCTTCACCTCTGGGGTGGGTGGTGTGGGGTCCTGGGGGTCTGCAGCCATTCCCTGGCACCAAACCCCAGCCTGGAATGACTGTGTGGATCCGCTGTGTGGTGGGGAAGGGGAAAGGCAGAACTGCCAGCCTGGTGCTGGGGTTAGATGGGGCCAGAGCTGGGACAGCAGTACCTGGCACCCACCAGCCCCTGGCAGGACCCTGCAGCCCAGGAAAAGCCCTGGGGCAGCATTTTGGGGTTGTGTCATTGGGTGTCCTTCCCCCTGGGCTCCACACAGTCTTCTTTGGGGAGTGCCCTACCTGCAGCATCCTCACCAACCTCAGTCCTGGCCTCAGGGCCACAGTCTGTGGGTTTCTGTCCCCTGCCAGGCAGGAGGGTCACCCACGAGAGCAGCTGGAGCCTGGCACAGGAGGAGGGAGAAAAAATACAAGGAGATCATTTAAAAAAAAAAAAAATAATTAATTGTTTTTAGAAGACAATGGTACTGAAATGCCTGATTTCCTTCACTCGTGGTTGGGTTAGTGCCATGTGGGTTTGTGTGGCTCAGCAGTGATATCTCCATTACCTGAGTGGGTGCAATGAGGCACCACCCACACACCAGCACTGCCACTTTGCCTTTCCTTGAGCTGAGAATCCCACCTGGGCAGTGCTTCCCTCATCCCCTTCCCCTCACTGCTTCACTTGTTCCTTGTTTCACTTGCTTCACTTGTTCCTTGCTCCTAAGAGTCCTCCTCTTATTTAACCTCCCACCCTCTGAGCTTCACCTTTCTCAGGCTGAAGGGCTCAGTGCAGCCTTGTCCTGGGGAGTGTGGCTGTAAGGGACAGATGGGAAGGGGGTGTTGGGGTTTTGGAATAGAATCACAGAAATCCCAGAGTTGTTTGGGTTGGAAAGGAACATCCTGTTCCATGCCCCTGCCGTGGGCAGGGACTCCTTCCACCAGACCAGGTTGTTCAGGGCCACATCCAACCCGGCCTTAAACACTTTCAGGGAAGGGAAAGGCACAGCTCCTCTGGGTGGTTTGTGCCTTAATAAATGTGATAAAATATTGCTGGCAGTCAGGAGTGGGCCAGTGGAGAGAGCTGGGCAGTGCTGCCCATGCACATGAGCAGAGCTGGTGTCCCACACCCTGCTCAGCTTCAGGGAGGACGCTGATGTGAGGCTGTGCCAGGGCAGGGCTGGTTCCTGTCCCTCTGACAGCTCAGCAGTGCCTGTGTGATGGGCTGGGGGCTCAGACCTTCACCCTGACCCTGGTGTAGTCACCACCTCCGAAAACAGCTTTATACTCCTCACTCATTCCTCAAAATAATACAGTTTGTGGCTTTTTGGAGTCCATTAGGGGAGCTGTAGATGTTTTCCAGCACAGCACAGGGGGTTTTGGTGGGTCACAGCAGTGCCAGACCCATCGGTGTGTCCAGGGATGCTGCTCAGAGCTCGGGGATTAAACTGGGGTCAAACCCAAGGGGCTCAGCACCAGCTGCTGTGACCAGAGAGCTCTGGAGGGGCAGCAGCAGGGAGCAGAGCACCCCCAGCACCCCCAGCAGGGCTGGGCAGCAGGAACCCACCGAGGGAAGGCATCACCCCACAGACACAGAGCGAGGGTGACTGTGCTGCTCAGGATGGCAGCCTGGAGTGGAGGGAAGAGCATTCTAAAACCCAGCAGGAAAACAGAAATCCTCTGTACAGTGAACCACCTCCACATCCACCCTCGCTCCCTCAAGACAAAGGGGACAGTGACACTTGCCACTTGTTTCAGCTCACCAATGCTCCTCTTTGCCTGGGGCAGGAGGAGGTGAAGGAGGTGAAGGGTGTCCCAGCAGTGGCTCTGGAGCTGGCTGGGGATGGAGTCTGGAGCCAGGAACATCTCCATGCCCCTCCACCTCCCCCAGGCAGGCTGCCTGCCTCCATTCTTCCTGCTGCCACAGACCTGCCTTTTACCAGTCTTTAAAGATAATGAAAGGACTTCCAAAGCATAATATGAGTCAAAGTGTTTTCAAGAAATGTCAGCTGCCACATGTCTCTATTTAAATAGGGAAAGGGGTTTTTTGTTGGTTTTTTTTTCCCATCTGTAAAGCACAAAACCACACCGCTGTGTTAATTCATGAAAATGCCATGGAATGTGGCAGTGAGGAGTAAAAAGGGAAAAATGACCAGGTCAGCTCCACTGCCAAGGATGAGTGAAGTGCTGAAAGGCTGAACAGAAAACGTGGTGTTTGAAGAGATTTGGTGCCTGATTTAACGCCGTCCTTCCCTCTGTAGTTCCTGTGCTATTGTATCGCACAGGATGGGCCCTGGAGCAGAGGCTGTGCTCCAGCCAGCACTTTTGTACCTTCAACAGGAAAGAAATATGCAAAAAAGGATTTTTTTCTTTTTTTTTTTGGGGGGGTGAGTGACATTTTCCTTTAATAGCCTTTATCTCTTGTCCTTGTGCTACAAATCTTCTCGTGCCCAGCTCAGACCTGGCCGAACTCTGCAGCCTCCGGGTGTTTCCCAGCGCAGAGCTCAGACCACAGGGCTCCCTCCGGTTTTGTTTGCACGTGGAAAAGGGCTTGCATCTCCCCCAGGGAGACTGGATGTTCCTCTGAGCAGGAAAAGCCCCTCTCTGTGGCAGGAAGGACCCTCAGTCCCCACCAGCTGTGTGCTCTAGCTGGGATCCAGAGCTTGGAGCAGGAGCTGGGAGCAGGAGCTGGGATCCAGGAGCTGGGATCCAGAGCTGGGATCCAGAGCTGGGATCCAGGAGCTGGGAGCAGGAACTGGGATCCAGAGCTGGGATGAAGAGCTGGGATGAAGAGCTGGGATGCAGATCTGGGATCCAGGAGCTGGGATCCAGAGCTGGGAGCAGGATCTGGGATCCAGAGCTGGGATCCAGAGCTGGAATGAAGAGCTGGGATCCAGGGGCTGGGAGCAGGAACCCACAGCCCAGTGGCTGTTTGCACAGTGAGATTCTATTAGCTGAGTTACTGCTGTAATTTCCTAATGGGACGGGGAGCGTGCAGGAAATGATAGAAGTGTGTAATTAAACCAAGCCTATCTGAGGATCTTCCATTAGGCCATGGTAATTTCTGGGTCTCAGCATCCTTCTCTTCCTTTTTTAGAAGTGGGAGAGAAGGGAGGTGTGAGCGTGGCGCTTTTCCCTTGAAGCCGTAGGTAGCGCACCTTTATGGTCATAAATCCCTGCTTATTTATGATCCAGGGAAGTTAACCTTCCAAATCAGATTACACAGATAATTCTGTTCCTTGCCTTTGCCTGGCTGGCAGGAAGAAGAGCTGCCAGGGAACAGGCACTTATTCCAGCAGTGGAATCTGTTGTGTATGGGAATTTAGCAACATCTTTCTGAATAAATGGAGAGCTCTCCTTTGGGACTCACTGTTTTTTATTGCAGGAGCTATTAAAACACCATGAGAGCAGCAGGGATCAGGGCAGCAGGTTTGGTCTATTTGTAGAGGGTAGTTAACCTGGTTATTTAGAGTCCAGCTGTAGATGTTCCTCCATATTCCTGCAAAGAGTAAAAGCCAGAGCAGTTTGCAAATTCACCTTCCACGCTCCACTTCAGGACTTGCTGTTCTCTGCCCGCTGCTCAGGGACCTGCTCCTGACACTCAGGGCAGGTCTGACAGTACTTGGTGTGATCAAACACTGCCAGATCCAGCAAAACATCACAGCACACATGCACAGCTCCCATTGAAGCAGGCAGGAGCCAACATTTTACAGACAAAGCCAGGCAGCCCAGGTTTTGCCCCAGAAAAGGCGCACTGGAAGATTCCAGGGGGCTGACAAAAGGCGCTGTGC